AAATTTGGGGTGCCAGGGATAAATGAAAATTGGGAGCCTTTAATTGAGCTATGTGTAGAAACAGGTTGGTAATAAGTAATAAATATTTTATGAAAAAGACGATAAATAAATATACAAGGTATGATATAGCACGTACTGAAAGTAGTTTGTTAGATTATATATTGGTGGACAAAAGGTTGATGGGTAGGCTCCAGGATGTACATGTTTATAGAGGGGCAACTGATATATCGGATCATTATTTAGTCGTAGCTACAGTTAGAGTAAGAGGTAGATGGGACATAAGGAAAAGGGCAACAGTAAGTAAGAGAGAGGTGAAAGTGTATAAACTAAGGGAGGAGGAAGTTCAGGTGAGATATAAGCAACTATTGGCAGAAAGGTGGGCTGGTGCAGGTATGAGTAGTGGGGGGGAGGGGTTGAAGAGGGTTGGAATAGTTTTTAAAATGCAGTATTAGAATGTGGGGCAGAAGTTTGTGGTTATAGGAGGGTGGGTGCAGGAGAAAAGAGGAGTGATTGGTGGAATGATGAAGTAAAGGGTGTGATAAAAGAGAAAAAGGTAGCTTATGAGAGGTATTTACAAAGCAGAAGTGTTATAAGAAGACAGAGAATATGGAGAGTAAAAGAAAGGTGAAGAGAGTGGTGAGAGAGTGTAAAAGGAGAGTGAGATAAGCAGGTTAAGAAAGTCTAGGGAACGAATGGATTTGTCAGTTAAAAACAGAGTAGGGGAGTTAGTAGATGGAGAGCTGGAGGTATTGGGTAGATGGCGGGAATATTTTGAGGAACTTTTATATGTCGACGAAGAAAGGGAGGCGGTAATTTCATGCACTGGCGCGCGTCAGGTGTTTAACCGTTGTGGGATCTGATAGTGAGGTGCTGGCCAGACCCCTTATATAGCTTCCTTGGATGCTTTACTTTCATAGTTCCCTGATAATGTGAGTAGTCACGAAAGCGCTTGGAATTTCTCTATTCTTTCAGAGTGGTTGTTTTGCATATTCTGAAATCACCTGTTTACTGTGATCTTATTGCATATATATATATATATATATATATATATATATATATATATATATATATATATATATATATATATATATATATATATATATATATATATATATATATATATATATATATATATATATATATATATATGTATGTATGTATATATATATATATATATATATATATATATATATATATATATATATATATATATATATATATATATACATGTATATGTATGTATGATGTATGTATATTTCTTTTATATTCGTGAAAGCAAATTAGAGGGTCAGGAAGAGGTATTAGATGCGAGAGAGAGAGAGAGAGAGAGAGAGAGAGAGAGAGAGAGGACAGCGTGGAGCAAGCTTTTATACCACAAGACGGGCAGAAGCAGCAACTTCACTCTGGCTATACCCTTCTCCAGAACATCACTTCATCTGAAATAATTTATCCCCAGAATTACTCGAGTCTGGAACACATTCGTACAGCATTATGATGTCAACTAAATAAAGTTAGTTGATCAAATGAAAATGCTGACCCACAGATGGCTCCAACTTCATCCTGTACCCTACATGTATGTCTCATAACAATAAAAATGTTATGAACTGAGCTGATGTAGGTAACAGCTCTTAGCTTGTCAATAAAGTTAGGAATCCTTAACCTGTAAATAGCTTGTCAATAAAGTTAGGTATCCTTAAAGTAACCTTGTCAAACCTTGTGTAAAAGAGAGAGAGAGAGAGAGAGAGAGAGAGAGAGAGAGAGAGAGAGAGAGAGAGAGAGAGACAGACAGACAGACAGACAGACAGACAGAGAGGCATTACACCCACACATGCATACGCTCTCTTATATCTCACCTCCTCCATCCAACACTTCCTGATCTCTAAACTCTCACTATTCACCTGCAGCACCTCCTCTGGCTTGGTATCCACCCACAGTCTTCATAAAAATATGATATCTCTACGATATTTTCTTATGGGTGAGAAGATAGAGCTAATTTTAAAGAAAATGAAGAAGAGAGGAGGAACGGTTGGAGGGAGAGAGAGAGAAAAGAAATGGAGAGAGGTAAAAATAGGAAGAAGGATAGAGAAGGGAGTGAGAGAGAGGTGGGGAGGAAGACGCTGGTATGAGAGGAGGGTGGCAGACACAAGGAAAGTCTACTAGAGCACTGCTGCCAATATCATCTCCACCAATAGTATCTCAAGACGTCACTCACAAACACACACACACACACACACACACACACACACACACACATACACACACACACACACACACACACACACACACACACACACACACACACACACACAAACGACATCGAGAGGAATTTCCAGGTTTCTCAGTGTTTATTTTAAGACGGGGACTCCAATGGGATTCTGTGATACAGGTTTCTTTTCTCGCAAAGTAGAATATTTTTATCAACTAAATTCACAAATTTCTTCAGAGACTGTACCATGAAATCTTATTAGGCCTTTACCAGCTGGAAAAATATATTTTACATGATATTTTTGTCAAATCATAAGAAAATGGTCTTCATTTCATTTGATGGTGGCGCTGGGGGGGAGGATGACATCTTGCAAGGGGGTGTCAGCCTTCATGCCAGTGAAGGGTTCTTGATCCAAGAAGTTTTTATTTATCCTTCCTTTCCTTGTTTCAAAGTCGACTGAATTTCATTCTAAAATTGCTGTATGATCCATACGTGTTAAGCGCTTCGTCATGAATTGAATAATGAAGGTATAGGAAAATGTAAACACACATTCCTCAACATTACAAAAGTTTTCCAATCGATTATTTTATTGTTTCTCTAAAGAAAAGCTTAAAGAACTCTCAAGCTTAAGGAGTTTCAATCTCTCAGGTGCAACTGAAGGTAAAGATCTCTCAAGGAAAATTGGAAGAGCCTTCAACATTCCTGGGGTATTTCGTTGCCGGCATCACAGGAGTTAGACAGACTTCTTGATGAAGGTTCAAGGAAGCAGCAACCCTGATGCAAAACAATATGTGGCAATGGAAAGTATTCAGTTCCTAAGACTGCTGTAAAGGAATTCAAGAAAGGCAGAGCGTATGAGGCTAATAACGGTACAAGATAAACCAAAATGCCGTCTAGTTTCAACACTATCTCGACAGTTAGTCCTTAGTAGCTTACCCCTTGCGCTTCTAACACCAACTATGTCGTGGAAGTGATGGTAAACACCTGCTATGTGAGGCCTTCGGAGAGAAACTGTGTCAAGGAGAAGTACAAATCTAGCTTTCCCCACATGAAACTAAACTGAAAATTACAGTTTGGGGAGAATAATTACATGCCAGGGTAAATGAAAAGTGGGTCAAGGAGTGCAGCGTTGTATCAAAGTTCCACACGCCACCTTCTAGCTCACCTAGGGGTTAGGCCAGTGGCACCTACCGTCATCTGGATATCCGGCTCATTTGGAGAATAGACGAGCCATATATCCTGTCGACCCTCCTTTGGTAAATAATCCTGTAATTCCTTCGGTACATAGAACTTTCTGAGAGGCATTCACTACCCACAGATCTTGAACGCCACGTATCCCAACTCTCGAACTTAGATTCAGTTAACTTAGATAAAGTTAACTCTTCAGTACATGTACCCTGAGCCAATATCCTACAAGACGCAACATCTTCTGAAATGAGCAGAGGGGTGCAGTGCATGCAAATACTTTCAGCGAGTGACGGTGAGTTAGAGGTCTCTCGGTAACAAACGTATTGAAAGATTTCATGGAAGAGGTTCCGTGGAGGGAAGATCAGAAGATATGGTGAAGGTGAGCTGACGTCAAAACACACTTGAGGTTGAAGGCAGTGCTGGACAAAGAATGACATCGATTGTGTGTCCGAGTGGGACAAGCAGCAGTAACACTAACACTTCCCCTCTAGCGCCCACCCGTCGATACTTTCCTCCTCAGAGAAATGTACACGTGTGCACATCTGTGCTGAGCACTGTTGTCCAGAGTAAATCCTGAAAACTATCTGCATTCCATTCATTATTTCGTATTTACTCAAAGTGTAACCCGGCCTTCTACTTGCTGTATGTAACTCCTGGTGCTGGTTGGGTCAAGCATTTTCCAGTATTCACATCTGTGCATCAAGTGCTCTACAGTGTTCATGTTAGTGTATCAGGTGTTTTACAGAATATACAATATATTAAAGATTCTGTAGCACATAGATCCTTGTGCCAAATGTTCTGCAGCATACATCTCAGCGTGTTAAGCGAAGCTCTTGAGCTGTATATTCTATAGGAAAAACCGTGGGAAAAACAGACACCAAAACGATCCAATAACTAATTTTTCTCCGCAAGGAAACCTGAACTACTACGCTGGCTCTCCTAAAATACCTATCTCGACGTGTGAATTAGGAGAGAAAAGCCGACTACAGAGATGAATCGAGGCTCTTGATACATACCGCCAGGAAACATGCTTCACAGGCTACTGTTTCCCGTAGTGTGTAATCAGAGTAGAGGACGTCCATGCCTCCTAATATAATCAACACGTGACTCAAGACCTATTCTTAGGACACGCGAAGGAACCGGAGGTGGAGAGTTTAGCGACCATACAGAAGCCAAACTGGTGCCTACACTAAGGTTGAAGGAGGGGTGTCACCACCACCACCACCAGTGTTGCATGACCCGCACTCGTCATGCACACTGTCTACAGCCAACACTCTTGCAAAACTCTTTACTTTCTTGCACAGGGTCGCCATTGGGGTATGAGTCATCAGTCGAGTTGCCCAAGTTAAACTTTCGTTCCTTTTGTTATGATTGATCGTTCACAGCTGCCAAAGTTACTAGTTCCTGATCATTGATTGTTTAATCAGGGAAGCTATTCCCCTGCACATGAAATTCCATCACTGGCTCACATATGTTTTTGGATTAGTTAAATTCAGACCAAAGTTGACGACAGGTACAGACGACACGCTATAACGAGAGAAGGTACGATGATCTCAGAACTCGTTTTAGTGCCATATGTTGCGTAGAGCAGTGGTCTGGGACCTACCTTGGCCAAGTGTAGATGCCGCTGACTTCGAATCCATAATGCCAAGATCCAGAGTACTCTCCCTGACCCTTGGGTCCAGTACACACGCCGTGACCGTGGGCTTTGCCGTCCTCCCAGCCGCCACAATAGGTTCCTCCGTCATCAAAATCAAAGCGGCCACCGTTGACAGTCTTGTTAGTGCCGCTGGCCTGGCCGGTGGAGGCCATGGTGGGGGCCGCCCCTGCTGCAGCTGCTGGCAGCCACGGGCGTGGGCGTGGGCGTGCAGGGCGTGCTCCACGTGGCGCCGCCTCTCCTAACGAAGGATGTCACGTTATAACACAACTGGAGGAACTGATATCACTGGGTTGGTCACGGCTGCTGCGGCTGCCCCCACCGCCCGCTGTCACACCACCACTAAACTTGCCCTCTCACAGCAGCTCCACACTTTAGTACTGCTGCAGCCGTGGAGGCTGAGCAGCAGAGGCGCGGCGACGGCGGCAGCAGGAGCAGCAGCAGCAGCAGCAGCAGGGGGAACGGGAGCGGGCGGGCACCGCGGACACATGCTCCGTCACACTAGCCAGCCCAGCGCGCGCCGACCCCCAACACCGCCATTTTAGGCAAGGCAGAGCGTCCGTGTCCGCCAGGGAGCGCTAGTGTCTGGCGGCGGTGTTGTTGCACCAGCTCGTGCAGCAGCAGCAGCAGCAGCAGCAGCAGCTGCACCACCTGTACACCCTGCTGCAGCCTCCCTCCGACCGTGCCTCCACAACACCTGTAGCTCACCCACCACTCCTCCACACACTACTGACTGCTCCCACTCTCTCACTACCACACTCACACCGCCGCATCGATTACTGCCCCCGCCTGCCCCCTCTAGTGCCACCACTGCCCCCTCTCTCCTGCCACCACAGCTGCCACCACATTCCCCGTACACATCCCTCTCTACTGCCACCGCCGCTACCTCACTCCCCCTTATACTGCCCTCTTGCCTGCCACCACACTCCAGTATACTGTCTCCCTCCACTGTTGACACCTCACTTACCAGTACATTGACCCCTTCTTCTCTATCGTCATCACCTCACCAGAGTGGAAGGGGAGAAAATAAGAAGCGAAAGTATGCAGGAAAAAAAGAGGAAGAGAAAGTATTTTGGGATGAGAGCGAAGGGTCGGATAAAGAAACAAGCGGCGCAGTGTGTGTAAAACTCTACGGACATCAAACCCCACGTTTTAGTATCAGCGGTCATTTAACCAGACATACACACGAACAAGAGAATACTGTATATAAAAAATAGAAGATACACTGCATAAGGCCTACTGGACTACAAATATACATCGCGAAACATTTCTCAGTGAGTTCATTTAATTCCCTACTTTAAGGATTGGCGGTGTACAGGTGACACGCAGCCCTAACGACCCTTCGAACCTCAGCCTGCTACCCCAGGCTAACTCTAGTACCCACCGAATCCATTAATATGTTTTAATTATTAATAAGATGTTGTGTTGTTGGGGTATAAATAATCAAATGTGTTCTAGATACTATGGAGAATAGAAGACTCTCTCCCCACTCTACACTCTCCACGGGCACACTGACACTGTCAAAAAAAAAAAAACTGTGATAAAAATCAATTTTCATTGATATGTTATAATAAAGAATATTTAAAAAGCTAAATAGCTTAACAAACACTATCTTGTGCAATTGATAAGGTAATAATAATAATAATAATAATAATAATAATAATAATAATAATAATAATAATAATAATAATAATAATAATAATAATAATAATAATAATAATAATAATAAGGCTGAGGGACTGACAACCTCAAATTCTACGACTTCAAGGGTGATGGACTGATTACATCGTCTTCTCTACTGTTCCTGCCTACTTTCTGTATTCGACTGAAGAAGCCTACTGTGTAGGCGAAACGTTTCGGAATAAAGTTGCCTAACTGTTGCCTATGTGTCTTACCTACCAACCTGTCGGTATTGTATATCATTTTGATGTTCAATAATAATATTATTATTATTATTATTATTATTATTATTATTATTATTATTATTATTATTATTATTATTATTATTGTTGTTGTTGTTGTTGTTATTATTTTTTTTTATTATTAATATTATTATTTTTATTATTATTATTATTATTATTTTTTTTTATTATTATTAATATTATTATTTTTATTATTATTATTATTATTATTATTATTATTATTATTATTATTATTATTATTTATTATTATTATTATTATTATTATTATTATTATTATTATTATTATTATTATTATTATTATTATTATTATTATTATTTTTATTATTATTATTATTATTATTATTATTATTATTATTATTATTATTTATATTATTATTATTATTAATATTTTTATTATTATTATTATTATTATTATTATTATTATTATTATTATTATTATTATTATTATTATTTATTATTACTATTATTATTATTATTAAACAGGAAAGGCATTGACAAAAGATGAAAATAAAGAGGCATCAAATGTGAAGCTACATGTATGTACCGAGCCCAGAGCCGAGACTCGACCCCCAGAAACACAACTCGAAGGACAGGTATAAGTTCTGGGGTTTGGTACAACAGATAAGAAACACAGAAGATATAAATTTTAAGCAAGTGTTGACACATGGCTGGTACAGCAGTGAAGCATTCCAGAAAGAGGTGAAAAAACTGTGAGCAGAGGTGGAGCATCAATAGAAGAGGTGACCCATTAGCGACAGATATTACCCTGTAACAATACAAGCATCCCAACAACTGTGAATATATAGTCCGACAAGACTAGAGGTTGCCTACTACTGCCTCCTGGAATAACTAAAGGCACTGGGAATCTAGGATTTTCTTCTATACCTGAGTGACTACCCTCAAAATTAGTCTTTTGAGGTAAGTCGTAAGCAGCCACTTACGGGTCAGCCAATCAGTCTCTTGGGGTAAGTCTGGCAGTCACTTGTAGGTCAGTCAACAACAGCAGAGGTAGCCCAGAAGGGTACAGAGAGACCAGTATTCTGCGGGTATCTTAAAAGAGACGTAGCGTAGTCTCCATCGCCTCCCAGTCTAAGATAATTCGTAATGTCAAGGTATTTGCTGCTTCCCGATGCTAGCGAACCGACAATAACTTATGATGACATCTCTGGAATGACTTGAAACTTATTCGTATAAATTGAATCTTGTACTCTCATAAAGTGAATCTAGCATGTACATAAAGCTGATCTTCGTGTTCTTGTAAAACGAATATTCGTATCCAAAAAAAAGTGTTCTTATCCACATAAAATAAATCTTCGAGTCCGCATAAAACTAATTTTTTTATCCGTATAAAACGAATCTTCACATCATAACAGCACCGCTGTTATGATGTGAACCGGTAAGCCAGCGGAAGGCCTCGGTCAGATGACCAAAAGCTTCAGCTGCGGGTCATCCTATGACAGACCAGCGTCAAAAAACATTTGTCTTGTTTCCTAACAAATCTTACCTAACCGTGACAAAAGTCCCTTCGCTTTCGACCTTCAATTCCGGTACACCTCAGTCCCTTCACGGGATGTGCCTCCATCCGTGTGAAGGGCCTCTTGGTCCCAAAATAATGTGACACCCCGTCTTCCCTTCCTCGGATCAAACCTGATTAACCTCTACCCTTCCCTTTACCCCCAGGCGATATGTGAACCTTATTGCTCATAAACTTAAAATAATAATAATAATAATAATAATAATAATAATAATAATAATAATAATAATAATAATAATAATAATAATAATAAAAGCTGTGTATATTCGTAAACCGACTGTTGGGATTCTTATTACCTTTTAGCTCCCTATTTACCAATTTAAAAGCCAGTTTTTATGGAGACTATCTTCCCAGCCTCTGCCAGTGGTATACTGCGGATAGCTATTTTTTTCATAACCGGTTCCCTTGCCTCTTTCCTATTTTTTCTTCCAATTTCACAGTTAAGTAGCGTGGGTGAAATTTATGAAAGTGTGGGTAAATGTTGCAAAAGTGTGAGTGAATGTTGCAAACGAGCGGGTGAATGTTGCAAAAGAGTGGGTGAATGTTGCAAAAGTGTGGGTGAATGTGTGAAAGTGTGGGTAAATGTGTGAAAGTGTAGGTAAATGTGTGAAAGTGTGGGTAAATGTGTGAAAGTGTGGGTGAATGCTGTAAAGCGTGGGTGATGTTGTAAGTGAATGAATGATGCGGAGTAGTAAGCCGTGTGTGTGTGGGAGTTGCAAAGGCCGGGACCTAGAGTTTAACTCCCTCAAACACAGCTCAGAAGCAGACTCAATAGATGGAGCTTAACGGCCGAAATAAACAGCCATAGTAAATAGCAGGTATACAACCACTATCTCCGTTTATGCTTAAATCACGTGAAATTTCCAGTCAGTGTGATGTACTAATCGCAGTACCCGAAAGTGTAGACAAGATACATTCTGCAGTAAAAGCCTTTATTGGGGCAACGTTTGTCTCTCTCTAGGGCGAAACGTTGTCTCGACAAAAGCTTCTTCCGAAACGTGTCTATTTTTTTCACTGCCACCTGCAGTGTGCCATGGAGAGCCGTAATATCGTAAAGCCGAAAAAATTCTACAGAGGTGAACCTCAGGGCGATCAAGTCAATATATTTGTCTTTATAAAGAAACCTCTCGCCTCATACAATATCTGATGTTTCTTACAGTGAATGCTGCCTTCAAAACTGTACAATATGGATGGAAAATGCCTAAGACATAGCCATTACAAGCTATTTCTATCTTCTGAAAGGTAAATAATGTGATATCTAATTCTAAATGATGAGATCAGTTTTTGTTTCTTGTCTAACACTAGTTTACCAGTCAACATGGGGTAACTTTTGTTAGATGATCAGCTTGCAAGGGGCAAATTGTTGCTAAAGGCTACCGGTAGTACGAAGGCCAGGAAGACTGTATAATACTTGTACGCTAATATTAAGAATTCTTAAACCCCTAAGACAGGGATTAAATTAAAGTCTCAGAGGATATATGCAGAAGGATATATACCCTATTTGCAGTGAAGTTGTATATATACAGTTTGGCGTTTGTGTGTGTGTGTGTGTGGGTGTGTGTGTGTGTGTGTGTGTGTGTGTGTGTGTGTGTGTGTGTGTGTGTGTGTGTGTGTGTGTGTGTGTGTGTGTGTGTGTGTACTCACCTAGTTGTACACACCTAGTTGAGGTTGCAGGGGTCGAGTCCAAGCTCCTGGCCCCGCCTCTTCACTGGTCACTACTAGGTCACTCTCCCTGAACCATGAGCTTTATCGTACCTCTGCTTAAAGCTATGTATGGATCCTAACTCCACTACATCGCTTCCCAAACTATTCCACTTCCTGACTACTCTGTGGCTGAAGAAATACTTCCTAACATCCCTTTGATTCATCTGTGTCTTCAGCTTCCAACTGTGTCCCCGTGTTGCTGTGTCCAGTCTCTGGAACATCCTGTCTTTGTCCACCTTGTCAATTCCTCTCAGTATTTTGTATGTCGTTATCATGTCCCCCCTATGTCTCCTGTCCTTCAGTGTCGTCAGGTTGATTTCCCTTAACCTCTCCTCATAGGACATACCTCTTAACTCTGGGACTAGTCTTGTTGCAAACCTTTGCACTTTCTCTAGTTTCTTTACATGCTTGGCTAGGTGTGGGTTCCAAACTGGTGCCGCATACTCTAATATGGGCCTAACGTACACGGTGTACAGGGTCCTGAACGATTCCTTATTAAGATGTCGGAATGCTGTTCTGAGGTTTGCCAGGCGCCCATATGCTGCGGCAGTTATTTGGTTGATGTGCGCTTCAGGAGATGTGCCTG